TCCCCTACTGGGGATCAAAAGCCCACAACCCGAGCATGTGCCCTGATTACATTAGAACTGGAACTCTCAGTCCATGGGAAGGTGCTCAATCCACTGAGCCACACCATTTGGGCGCTTCCCAACATTTTAATATCGTATCTTCAAGTAAAAGAAATGTATACTGGAATTATGGTACTGTTTTAATTTTCCAACCTTTTGGTTTCTTCGAAGATAGTAGACTTATAGAAAAAACTTTTCCTTAAAATTTTTATTTTTATCCTCACCCGAGGACATTTTTCCATTTTTGGTTCAGATAGAGTGGGAGGGAGGGAGGGGGGGGAGAGAGAGAGAGAGAAAGAAACATCAACGTGAAAGGTACACATCGAGTGGCTGCCACCCACATGACCCAACCAGGGCCGGGGACAAACTGCAACAGCGGTACATACCCTTAGCAGGAACAGAACCCAGGTCTCTCTGGACCGCAGGTCAACGCTCTAACCACTGAGCCAAATCAGCCAGGGCTTCCTTCAATTTTTGCCAAGATTACTTGATACTATGATACCATTCCTTCCATAAGCTTGTTAGATTAGATGAACAGATGTATACGGTGAATTCTCCTATAACTATTTCACTTAAAAACATCCTTAATACATATTTTGTAAGCTGTGACTTACTAGCTGCCTAATACCTTTTTTTTTTTTTTTTTTGCTGAATAAAACTACACTATTGAAAGTAGAACATTTACTCGTGTGGGACAAAATATTCCCCCAAATGCACTGGAGACATAATGCCTGAACTTCACGTAATTAGAATTACTTTTCCTCCTTCTCAGATGTTGACATACACTTTTATTTTTTTCTTTTTTTAAAATTTAATTTTTTCCATCACCATTGATCTTCTCTATGCTCTCTTCTACCCCCACCCACCCCATCCCGCCACAATCACCACACTATTGTCCATGTCCAAGGGTTCTCTTTTTTTCCCCCTGTTTTGCTCAATCCCTCCATCACTATCCCCAACACCTCCACCCCTTGGGCTGTCTGCCTGCTCTCTATCTATGAGTCTGTCTCTATTTTGCTTGGAAGTTCAGTTTGTTCATTAAATTACACATGAGTGAAATCATATGGTACTTGTCCTTCTCTGACTTTTTTTCCATTTTTTTGTTCAGATAGAGTGGGGGGATGAGGGGAGGAGAGAGAGAGAGAAACATCGGCATGAAAGGGACACATCGAGTGGCTGCCTCTAGCACGACCCACCCAGGGCAGGGGACAAACTGCAACCGAGGTACGTGCCCTTAGCGGAATCCAAACCCGGGTCTCTCTGGACCGCAGGCCGACGCTCTAACCGCTGAGCCAAACCGGCTAGGGCCTTTTTTAAACATTTTGATGATCTAGAGAGAGAAAATTTTGCATGAGTATATTAGTTTTTGTTCGTGGTCAAAAGGAAAAATCCTGAAATATCCAATTTTCAGTGTTATGGAGATTCCTTCTCTTATGCCAGTTCTAGGTAATTTTAACTCCAGAAAGAGGGTATACCTTAAACTGAAAGAATAACAAATATAATTGTCATTTCATTGGTCTCAGAATATGAGAAAGTAGTTGATTGTAATAATTGGATAACTATTCCTTTCAATGGTTCCCAATTTTTTGCTGTAAAAAAACGGAGTATCGCCCTGGCCAGTTTGGCTCAGCGATTGGAGGGTCGGCCTGTGGACTAGAGAATCCCGGGTTCGGTTCCTGCTAGGGGCACGTACCCTCCCCCTAAAATTGAGTATCATCTAATTGATCTTTAAAAGTAATTCACAGGATCACTATGTGATTTTGGCATGTAATGTGGAAGAAGTTCAAGGACTGAGTGACATCGCTATAACATTTCCTGCACGGGGAGCTGATGCTGCCATTAAATACTGACCTCTGCCCTAGCCGGTTTGGCTCAGCGGTTAGAGCGTCGGCCTGCGGTCCTGAGAGACCCGGGTTCGGTTCCCGCTAAGGGCGCGTACCTCGGTTGCAGTTTGTCCCCGGCCCTGGTTGGTCGTGAGGGTGGCAGCCACTCGATGTGTTCCTTTCACGTCGATGTTTCTCTCTCTCTGTTCCTCTCTCTCCCTCCCACTCTACCTGAACAAAAAAATGGAAAAATGTCCTCGGGTGAGGATAAAAAAAAAAAAATACTGACCTCTGAGAACAGTCACCTTAGTATGAAAATGATTTAGAGACCAATGGCACATTTTACAAATTTTAGTTTAAGTGCACCGAAAAAGTAAAATGCTTTTGTTTCTTAACAGAGGTAGGTCCTTGCTCGGCTGGTGTGGCTCAGTGGTTGAGCGCTGACCCATACACCAAGAGGTCGCTGGTTCGATTCCTACTCAGGGCACGTGCCCAGGTTGTGGGCCGGTGCCCAGTGGGGGGCATGCAGAAGGCGGCCTATCAGTGTTCTCTGTCATCAATGTTTCTATCTCTCTCTCTCCCTCTCCCTTCCCCTCTGTCTAAAATCAATAAAGAGCACTGGGCGGTTGCTCAGTGGTTAGAGCATCAGCCTGTGGACCAATGAGTCGTATGTTCAATTCTGGTCAGGGGCACGCACCTCAGTTGCAATTTGTCCCTAGCCCTGTAGTGTGGGAAGCAGCCCCTCGATGTGTCCCTTTCACGTCCATGTTTCTCTCTCTTCCTTCCACTCTATCTGAATAAAAGTGGAAAAATGTCCTTGGGTGAGGATGAAAAATAAATAAATAAATGAAATCAATAAAGAAAAAAAACAAGAAAAAATTATCACTCTACATTTAAGAATATAGCATTTTTTCCTTGTTGTCATCCATATTCTTCACCTCTATGATTTCTCAACTCTGACATTTTCTTATTTTCCACAATTCTTTACCTTTCTCCCTACGTCCTCTAGTCCTCCGAGATCCTTTCCTGGGTAACTGGGAATATGAAACAAGAGCACACTGGGGAGCTTCCTGGGCCAGCTTGGGACAAACGCAGCTCTTCCTTTCTCTTCCTGTCCTCAAGTTCCATGCTTTTTCCTGCCATCTCTTCTCACATCTCTCCTTCTGTTTCTACTTCTGTTCTTCTTCCTAATTATACCCCCAAAATCTATCTGGAACACACCTAATAGTAAAAGGTAATCAACTAATATTTAGTCTCATAAAATCATGTTCGATACAATCAGAATGGAAGCGATCATGTTACAGGTATGGCTGTGAGAGGAAGATTCAGCCAGCTGTCTTTGCTATGACACATACAAAGGAACCGATATTTCTGTACAACTTCTTCACACTTGAAACTATGCACTGATTTTCAAATCTTTTTCTGGCCCCAAACACCTGAGGAACATGATATTAACAGTTCTACCACATGGTTAATTTTATGTGCTAATATGGCTGAGCATAGTGCCCAGATATATGGTCAAATATTGTTTGTTTTTATGATGGTTTTTGGATGAGCTTAACATTTAAGTGAACTTGGAGTAAAGCCATAATGTGGTGGGCCTCATCCAATCAGCTAAAGTCCTTAACAGAATAAACACTCATCTCCTCTGAGCAAGAAGGAATTCTGCCAGCAGACAGCCTTTGGACTCAAACTGCCACTACTCTTCCCTGGGTCTCCAGCCTCCAGGCGTATTCTACAGATTTTAGGCTCACTGAGCCTCCACAATCACGTGAGTCCATTTCTCTCTCCTTCTCCACATACATACACACCTTTTTGGTTTTGTTTCTCTGGAGAATCATGACTAATACATGCAGCAAAGGTAGTGATTCTCAACTAGAAATGATGGGGGTGAGATGGGATCCAGAGAAAGAGCAGAGGGGTTGGAGATGATCATTTTTAAAATGCCTGATGCAGATCTTATGGAATACATACCAAAAGTCATTTACTAGTCTTCCTCTATTACAGAGGCTGAAATGCTAAAATAAAATTTTCAGCTTCTCTTACATGTGACAGTGTTGTGGCCAAATTCTTGAGAAGGGCATCCTTCACAAACAAAAGGCTAGCGCCTCACTAGGACAAAGCACTATGCTCTAAACATTCTTCCTGCCCAGCTCACTAAGGATTCGGGTGTAAAAACAGTGCCTGAAAGAGCTGATCTTCACCATTCCCCAGCGTTCATGCCAGTATCCTAAATAAGAATGCAAGGAGAATCTGGCTGCTTTGGCCAACCTGTACCGATAGCTGAAAAACTTAACCCATGTCATCATGTTAAGTGTTGCTCCACTAAAACTACCTAAAGTTGAAATCTGCAATGGGAAGGACTTGGACTAGAAACATTTCCTGAAAATGTTGATTACAAAGTATTGACAATTATAACTATGTATTACTAAGGAAGGGTATAAATATCCTTTAAAAAGCATCTTCAAAAATGTGGCCTAAATTACTGTATGGCATTCCACCGTAAAGACAAGAGTTAAAAGAGCAGCACTTTGACATCATTTCCATTCTGTAATACACTACTGACTTAAAAGTTTTACCTCAGGCCCTGGCCGGTTTGGCTCAGCGGTTAGAGCGTCGGCCTGCGGTCCTGAGAGACCTGGGTTCGGTTCCCGCTAAGGGCGCGTACCTCGGTTGCAGTTTGTCTCCGGCCCTGGTCGGTCGTGCGGGTGGCAGCCACTCGATGTGTCCCTTTCACATCGATGTTTCCCTCTCTCTCTCTTCCTCTCTCTCCCTCCCACTCTACCTGAACAAAAAAACAAAAAAATGTCCTCGGGTGAGGATTAAAAAAATAAATAAATAAATAAAAGTTTTACCTCAGTACACTTTCAGTATTTGTTACAGCAGAGAACTAAAGAGTATTATATAAAATTACTGTTTAATAAAACCTCACTAACAAATCATTAAGAAGGAACTTATTGGCTAAATTGATGAAAAATATAAATAAAATGCCCAAATTATCTAACAATTTTTAAGTCAAGACGATCATATTTTTAAGGCTATCAATGATGTACCTCTAAAAATATTATTTTCTTTAGACCTAACTATAAAAAGAAAAATCAAGTGCTGTTAGATAATGACTTCAAAATCTGTGTTGACCTTTTTTTTCTCCAGTGTAGGGCACATAGTCTTCCCGGTCCTTCTGCTCCAAAGCTTCCTTCTCCAGATATGACAGGAGGTGTTCTCTGTCAAACGGCCCCGTGGCAGACTTTGAAGTCTGGTTCTTCTGCCGGAAACCTGCAGGCAGAAGGGCATTCTGCCAAAGAGAATAAATCAACCATTGTGACCACCAAGAATGCCAATGCTATATGCTTGCACAGATTATAGACTGGAATGTGATGTAGACATTAAACACTTTATTATAGCATTTTAGGGATACAATGTAAAGTGTTACAAAGGTGTTTTTATGTTTTTTTGTTTTTTTTTTAAATTAGGTAGTACTCACACATTACTATTAAAATAGGCACAAACACATTTTCCTCAGAAAGTATCTTCTACTAGCAGGAAATACCCTTCACTTTTAAAATGTCCTGGGACAGCCCAGCTGGTGTGGCTCAGTGGTTGAGTGTCGACCTATGCACCAAGAGGTCGCCGGTTCGATTCCCAGTCAGGGCACATGCCCAGGTTGTGGGCCCAATCCCCAGTGGGGGGCATTCAGGAGGTGGCCAATCGATGTTCTCTCTCATTGATGTTTTCATCTCTCTCTCTCTCTCTCTCTTTTCCTCTCTCTCTAAACAATAAAGAAAAAATAAAATGTCCTGAGACAGTTATAAAAATAGTGTTTTAATGCTTAATAACAGCTTAGCATATATGTATATACAGAAAATAATTCCATTAAAAAGAATGCTAATGACTATATATATCGTAATCCTTCATAATTACCTTTATTTCATTGAGACTTTCTCATAATAAAAACATGTATATCACACAGTAGGGTATCAGGAGATAAAAGTTTGTGTTTAAACACAACAGGAAAGGTTCAACTTCTATGTGTACGTATGTACATATACATCACCACTAGGATGTATCTGCAGCAACCACTGTCATTGCTACTCATGCACCAAGGCGCCCTGAGACATTCATAGCAAGAGTTGTTTCTGGGTTTCCACATGGCTACAGCATGAAGTGACTGAGTGTGGGGGAGAGGGGAGGCGATGGATTGAAGTAGTTGCTACTCTGAATTTTCACTAAGCCCAGGAATAGCAAGTGGTGACAAGACAATGTGAGCTCCATCCTTTTGCCTGTGAAAAGCCAAAGAGGTGTTGTCTCACTGTTCCTGGATATTCCTTTGCTTTGAAAATGGGAGGCAGCCAGAGAAGTCACACGAAAAAGCCAACCAAGCCTCTTTTGCAACACCTCCCAACACAGGCAATGATGCTGTGGCAATGATACTTTATCTTTTTGTTGTTGTTGTTAATCCTCACCTGAGGATATACTTTTCCCTTGATTTTAGATATAGTAGAAGGGGAAGACACACACACACACACACACACACACACACACACACACACACGGCGGGGGGGGGGGACTTGATGAGAGAGAGACACATAGATTGGCTGCCTCCCGCATGACCCCACCAGGGCCAGAGATTGAACCTACAACCCATGTACGTAAACTTGACTGAAATTGAATCTGCAACCCTCCAGTCCACCAGCTGATGCTCTAACAACTGAGCCAAGCCTACCAGGGTTGATGCTGTATTTTATGACTGTTATAAAGGGTGATCTTATATGGATAATGATAATAACAAATATTCATTTTATAGCTAGAAAATATAGCACTTCAACTTTGACCATTTACTGAGATCCATAGTAATTTTACTAAAATTCACCTTTGTGTTCTCCTCCTACAATGGTATGCGTTGCACAGAAAGCTCACCTATAAAGATGAAAAACCAAGGTCTATTCCTAACCGCATACCAGGAATGTTTTTGTAACATAAAACTGTTTACGGGAACATACAAAAGAAACACAAGATTTCTACTCTCAGATTTTGAAATCAAGATAAGAACTACACATGAAGAATAAATTCCCAATCAACTATCAAGTGCTATTCCTTCACTTCCTAAAAATACTCATTAGTCTGTTTAATTTTCTCCATCACCAACACTATTACTTTGGTCGAAATTATGATCCAAGCTGACATGGACTATATCACATTAGCCTCCCAAATGGTCTCCCAGAATCGGTTCCTGATCCTCCCCCACAAGGTCAATCCTGGCCTTATCTCACACCCTCTCCAAAACTGCCACACCAGACCTTGTTCCTCCCTTGTACTTCCTATATACTTCCTTCTACCACAAGGCCTTCCCCAGAATGCCCTGTCCACCCTTTTTTGCTACTCATTTTTCAGACTGCAGTTCCATTCCCCACAAAGGAAGCTTTTTCTGACTTCCCATTATATGCTTGTATGTTACTATGGCATGATTATTTGATTAAAATCTAACTCCCCCCACTCCTACCAGCCTGCATCAGGAGGACAAAGATCACATTTGTTTTGCTCACTCTTGTACACCAGGCCTAGAGTAGTACTTAACATCTACAGGTTGTACACCCCCACCCCATAATTACTGAAGATTTGAAAATACTTTTAAAGAAAAATGTTCATTAAGACAAATTAGTAAAAGTTACTTCCCTTAGCCATCAAAAAGGCGTTCAGATACAGAACGTGACAGAGTGGCTTTATTCCACCCGCCTGCTCAAGCTCAAGTGAAACATACAAGTTCTAAATAATGTTACCTGGAATCCTAGCTCTTCAAATACAATCTTAGATCATAAAATAAATGACAGTTAACTGGCTTTCAAGGGTATAAATCCATGAAAAGCTTTATCAAAAGTATACCTTAATTAATTACTTAAGCAGATAAAAGTAGCATTAAAATGACTGCCAGTAAACATTACATAGCTTTCCAAAATATAACAAGGCACCATAACCAACCTTCTCCTACTCTTATCTTCCTTCTGAGACTCTGTAAGTTACAGTGTGTTTCTCTGGTGGAAGTAACTGCTACTACCTTTGTCTTCTTTTCTTACCTGGTCCTCCATGGAACTCTTTCCAAACACCTCAACCAACAAGTGGCATGTTGTCAATAAGCATCAATTGTTCTTCTAGTTTCAACTAACAGTATCTGAGGTTGGAGGAGTTGCAACTAGGGTTGGGAAATTTGCAAATTATACCCACTGATTAGAACTCAAGCCTCCCCATACAAAAAAGTAGGCCATGAATTTGCAAATAAAATCTAAACCATCAGCTTTTAGACACATAGCACAGGGCACGAGTTAAAGGGGGCTCATTGTAGTTTAACAGAAAGACCACTAGACTCTGCTAGGGATCTATCAGGCAGTGAGGGATCTAATCTCAGTTCTTTCCCTAACTGTAATAACTAGGCAAGTCACTTAACTTTGTTTTCCATATGTAAACAGAAGGCAAGTTCCAGATCAATGTTTCTCAACCAGTGGTGTTTGTCCCCCAGTGGACAACTGGCAATGTCTGGAAACAGTTTTGGTTATCACAACATGATTATGTTTTTTTATTTTATGATGCTTTGACATCTTGGGAGCCTTGCTAATCTTGAAAAATGCTGTCCCTCCAAAGCTACCAAATTCCTAAGGGTAGCAAACAACTTCTCTGCCACAAGTGTGCCTTTCATATGAAAACCAACCCATCCAGAGCCCATACTCCCAACTACCTCCTTTACTTCTCACACACCAAGTCAATATTACCCTGTCCTAAATCACCCAGGGCCAGGTCCTGGACAATTAAAGGCCACTCCTGTAGCCCAAGCCCACTGAATTTATTCAAACTACCCAATCCTAAACTTGTTCAAATTTGCCTATCCTGCCTGTTCCATCTATTCCTTTCCTTACAAACCACAATAAATATTCCAGGTCATGCCTGTCCCTAGTTCCTTCTGCCTCCTGATCAACCCAGTGCTTCCCCAGGTGGTCCTGTGTGGCTTGGTGTGCCTCCTGCTGTTGGGAACTGTAAGTAATAAGCTCTTCTTTAACCTGTTAACCGAGCGGGACGTATAAATACGTCAAACGTTGCATACAGTGAAAAGGGAATTCCCTGGTTAACATGTTAAGGCAGTTATTGCCTTGTCTGCCATTTTACTATATACCTGATTAAAACAAAATCCCAGGTTCATTTTTTTACAAATATGTATTTATTGATTTTTAGAGAAAGAAGAAGGGAGAGGAAGGGAGAGACAGAAACACTGATGAGAGAAACATTGATCGGCTGCTTCCTACACGCTTCCCCCCCGCCCCCTAGGGATTGAGCCCACAACTTGGGCATGTGCCCTGACTGGGAATCGAACCGGCCACCTCTTGGTACATGGGTGGATGCTCAACCACTGAGCCACACTGGCCAGGCCCCAGGTATATTTTAAAACAGAGGGGGTATGCTACTGGCTTGCAGTGAGTAGAGGCCAGGGATACTGCTAAACATCCTACACTGTACTGGACAGCCCCCACAATAACGGTTATCCAGTCCCAAATGTCAATAGTGCTAAGGCTGAGAAATCCTGGACTAGATGAACTCTTTGGGGTTCCTACCATTTGATTCAAATAAGTCTAGCAGGTTGAGCTGCGTGTAGAGGATATTGCTGAGACATGATCAAAAGAGCACCATTAATCTAAGTTTTTCCCTAGATTTAGGTGTACTGGAAACTCTTCTTTATAATAACAATTATGGTTAAGGGACTTGGTCTATGGTACTGATATCTTATCCAAGTGCTAAAGTAATACTGAGAGTAGGAGTGTATTCTCAATAAATATTCAAAAACATCCCAGCAAGAAATGAATTATGTGGTAGTAACAAGCACAATTGTATAAAACAAACTCTACCTCAATCCTAAAAGGCACTAAAAATCAATGTCTTGGCATAAAGAAACTTAGTAAAGAAAACAAACCTAGCAATCATTACCTTCAGGTTAAGTAGCCATAACCTTAAAGTTTTTCCCTCACTGCCTCTCCTCTCCCCCAGTACATTCCAGGGAATAACAATTAAAGAGTTAAGGGTCTCTACCTTAGCCTGTGTAATTTATAAGATAAACAACATCCGCTTTGCAAATTAAAACATGTATACATATGCTCAGGTCTGCTCACATGGACTGCAGAGTCTACTTAGATCTACTCTACCAATGACTAGAAACTTATTCAATTTGGTTAGCATCTTCCAGAAAGGTAACAATTAGAGTCAAAGTCATAAAGAACCTTCCAGAGACACTCTACACTGTAGCCATCCAGTATAGATAAATTCTGAAGAGGCACAGAGATCAGCACACATCAAAGAGTTAATCATCTGCTGTATTTTACCAAAAACATTACCCCCTGCCCAGACAGAAACAATTTCTTACAACAGAGATAATTTTAGGAGATGTTTGAAAATAAGGATGTTGAAGAAAGCAGTTTAGAACAGTCGCGTCAATAAAAATATGGAGGTAGAAATGGGGATCTGGAGAAGAGGCAGAAAGTTCATTTGGACAAAGAGGTATCAGTAAAGGAGACTTGGTTTGGGGTGGCAAACACACAATACAATATTACAGATGATGTATTATAGAACTGTACCCCTGAAACCTATACAATTTTATTAACCAATGTCACCCCCAATAAATTCAATAAAAGAAATAATAAAAGGAATACATGTGCATAGAAAAAAAAAAAGGTGCCAATGAAAAGTCCTGAAAAAGCTATAACTGCTCAAAGGCAGCTACTTACAGTTTCCAAAGGTTTGAAAAAGTACTTCATTTTTCTTCACTAGCTAGCACCTACCTCGGGGTCAAGATCATCCAGAACAGTTTCCAGTTGTTTCAGTTCTATTTCTGATAGATTCCCAAGAAGCTCATCTTCATCCAGGTCCTTGTACTTTTCTAAGTCCTTCCGGAATGGTAGTGCCATGGTTTGCAGTGTCACTTGCTTTTGCTATTCAACGTAGCCAGAATTGATTTCTAGTTTTTCTTAAATCTATGGAGACAAGAAACAAAAACATTTAAAACATCATCTCCACCTACTAAGACATATTATTCGGTTAAATGAAAGATAAGTAGTGTGTGACGTGGAGAAAGTAGATAGTAAAGGAAATACATCCAAACTTTGAAGCACTGGGCATTTTGCAGCCAAGAAAAATTTTGCCAAATCTTTCAGTCTAAACATTATTTTTTATTCACATAGGAACATTTTATGAGATAAACGATCCACATATGTGCTAGAATGTATAGAAATACTTAATTTTTGCTTCACACTTTTTGTGGGACTTACTTTGAGTGTCCTTGCTTATAGAACAGTCCTGTGGTAACTGGAAAGATGCTGCTTAAGAGTCACCACTCTTTTCTACGGATCATTCAATGCCTTTACCTTTTGTCTTTTGTTAACAACAAAAATAAACGGGGGGCGGGGGGATAAAATTCAAATCTATTAAAATATCTACTTGACAGAATTTAGATTTGTCTGATAACTGAGTTTCAGGGGGGGAAAAAATTATAATTTGTGCCAAAGTACAATTTTTTCCATCAATGGCTTTCAAATGATTGCTACCAGGGTACTTTGCTTAAGCACAGGTTTAAGGTACAGTTGTTTTACTGTAAATTGCTTAGAAGAACATTATTTTCTGACTCAATATTAATATAGGGGGGATACTGGTACACTCTCCATGGAAGGAAATGGCCTCTTGCCGTTGGAGGGAAAAAACATTTTCTTAAAAGTGTCTTAAAAAAATTTAAAGGTACTTTTAAAGGAAAAAATAAATCATTCTGAAACTGTTTCAGTAAAATACTCAAAACCATGCTGAGATATGTCATCCACTAACTGGCAGGGTTGGTCAAGAGAATCTAATTACAGAAAAGGACCATCACCATTTCCCTACTGTGTGGATCTCTCCCAAATAGCTATGAGGTGACTCAATAAGCAGCATCTTTCCAGTTACCACAGGACTGTTCTATAGGCAAGGACACTCAAAGTAAGTCCCACAAAAAGTGTGAAGCAAAAATTAAGTATTTCTATACATTCTAGCACATATGTGGATCATTTATCTCATAAAATGTTCCTATGTGAATAAAAAATAATGTTTAGACTGAAAGATTTGGTAAAATTTTTCTTGGCTGCAAAATGCCCAGTGCTTCAAAGTTTGGATATATTTCCTCTACTATCTACTTTCTCCAACTTAATATTTTAACTAATATATTTTCCTCCTCAATTCAGTAACATTTTATAGGTCCTTTTATGTGTTTTCATCTCCTAAGAAGAAAGGAAGGTTCACTACAGAGCCTGTCAGCTAATGACTTGACTAGCAACCACCTGGGTCCAGTAAAAAGCAAATTAACAGAAGTGTGCTTATGCAGATGTTAAATTGCAGCCACTTTGTATAACTGTCCAAGACAGGTTGACGTATACCTTTTCTACTGGAACCTCAAAGGTTTAGCAGTTATCTTGGATTTTTCCATTAAAAAAAAAAATTATTATTGTGCTTACTAAGTTTGGTAAACCTCCACTTTGTACTTCCAACTTTAAGATAGCAAGCTTACCAAGTATCCTGAGTGTATTTTCTCAATTAAAAATAATACAATCTGCAGAGAAAAGTCAATGGAAAGTATCAGCACTTTCAAATATATTAACCATAAAGTACAGTTTTAAAGAAGGTGGCATGCAATTTTAGGGGGGAAAAATGTAAAAATTAGACTACACTGAAAACAACACTCCCTTCATAAACAGACATATTTGAGACAAAGTTGGATAAGAAACTGATAAAAGTATAAGAATATGTACCACCCCGGCCGGTTTGGCTCAGTGATTGGAGCGCTGGACCCGAAGACCAAAGAGCAGTGGGTTCGATTTCCATGTACTTTCGTTGCAGTTTGGTCCCGGGCCCTGGTTGGGGTCACCCAGGAGGCAACCAGCCCAAGAGACACATATGATTCCCTTCCTCCCTCTCTATTTAAAGATAAATGAAAAAATATCTGTGGGTGAGGATTGAAAAAAAAACAAAAAAAGCCCTGGCCGGTTTGGCTCAGCGGTTGGAGTGTTGGCCTGCGGTACGGAGAGACCCGGGTTCAGTTCCCACTAAGGGCGCGTACCTCAGTTGCAGTTTGTCCCCGGCCATGGTTGGTCATGCGGGTGGCAGCCACTTGATGTGTCCCTTTCATGTGGATGTTTCTCTCTCTTCCTCCCTCCCTCCCTCCCACTCTATTTGAACAAAAAATGAAAAAATGTCCTCAGGTGAGGATTAAAGAAAAAAAAAGGATATGTACTGAGAGCAATTATTTACTTTATGCTATTTTTTAATCCTTGCCTGAGGGTATTTTTCTATTTCTCTTCAGATAGAGTAGGAGAGAGTGAGAAAGGGAGAGGGAAGGAGAGAGAGGGAGAGAGAGAGAAACATCCACATGAGAGGGACACATCGACTGGCTGTCTCCTACACAACCCCGACCAGGGCAAGGGACAAGTTGCAACCAAGGTACGTGAACCTGCCCTGCCGGAATGGAACCCGTGACTCATTGGTCTGCAGGCCAACGGTCTAACCACTGAGCAACCGGCCAGGGCTATGCTAATTTTTTAATGTTCGGAAAATCAATATAAAAATAAGTTTCTAATGTGGTTTGATATAATTTCTTAAAATTTATAGTATAATCATGTGCCATCAAAATGAACTGAATATACAAGGGTGGTTCCCATAAGATTATAATGGGACGAAAAAATTCCTATCACCTAGTGACATTGTAGTCCTTGTAATGTGTAGTCTAACACATTACTCGTGTGTTTCCGTTGATGCTGGTGTAAACAAACCTAAACCTACTGCGCTGCCAATGGTATAAAAGCACAGAACATACAATTGCATGTAGTGCATAATAGTGATAATAAATGTATTGATAATAAATGATAATGATAATAAATGACTATGTTCCTGGTTTATGTGTTTACTATATTATTTTATTTTTTAACCTTTTTTTTTTCTTTATTGATTTTAGAGAGAGAGGGAAGAGAGATAGATAGAAACATCGATGAGAAAGAACATTGATTGGCTGCCTCCTGCATGCCCCCACTGGGGATTGGGCCCACAACCTGGGCATGTGCCCTGACCAGGAATCGAACCAGTGAACTCTTGGTGCATGGGTCAATACTCAACCACTAAGCCACACTGGTCAGGCTATACTATATTATTTTAAAGTGTATTCTTTCTACTCAGAAAAAAAATTTGCTGTAAAACAGTATGCAGTGCAATGCCTCATCCATCTTGTGTTTGTTGCATCTCTTGATTGAATAATTTTCTCATGTTTGATTTAATCTTGTGTTGTTTTTACAGTGACATGCTATACAGGCTTGTGGCCTAAAAGCAAGGCTAAGTCACATAGCCTAGGTACGGAGTAGGCTGTACCATCTAGGTTTGTGTAAGTACACTCTATGATGTTCACACAATGATGAAATTGCCCAACGATGCACTTCTCAGAACTTATCTCCATTGTTAAATAGCACATAACTGTATGCAATAAAGTTAATTTCTTAGTCAATACATATTTCAAAAAATACTTATTAATTATTTTGAGTATCTTTTCTCTTTACTCTCAAAAGTATCTCAGCCTGGGCCATAAATTAAATGGTCATCCAAATAAGAAGGCATTGTAATAGACAATATGATAGAAATGAGACATTAGGAACAAAGGTAATATGTATCAACCCCGGTTCTATATGTGGGAAACACGACATTCCTTGCAGTGACTACAATAGTTTACTCCAATAGCTTACTCTTTATCCCAAAGAAAAATCTGTCATACAAAGCATCTTTATATACTACTGCTTAAAAAATAATAAAATGAATGCCTATCTTCAGAAAGAGAACATTACTAGTACCCTCATGTTTCCCTTGCCAGTGGCATCTCCCTTCCCAAAAGAAGCAGCCATTGTATTGAATTATGACTTACTTATTCTTTGGTTTTCTTCTACATTTTTACCTTAGTTTGTTTTGTCCTTTTTTTTTTGCACTTTATTTTTTTACTTTTTTTTATCCTCCCAGGAAGACATTTTTGCATTTATCTTCAGATAGAGCGGGAGGGAGAGAGAGGGGGGAAGCGGGAGAGAGAAACATCGATGTGAGAGTGGCTGCCACCCACATGACTCCAACCGGGGCCACGGACAAATTGCAACCGAGGTACATGCCCTTAGTGGGAACTGAACCTGGGATTCTCTGGTCCACAGGCTGACGCTCTAACTGCTGAGCCAAACCGGCCATGGTTTATTTACTTTTTTAATCCTCACCTGAGGATATTTTTACATTTATCTTCAGACAGAGTGGGAGGGAGGGGGAGGGGGAGGGGGTAAGAGAGAGAGAAAGAGAGGGAGAGAGAGAGAGAGAAACACTGATTGGTTGCCACCCACAGGACTCCAACCAGGGCCGGGGATGAACCACAACTGAGGTACGTGCCCTTGGCTGGAATCGAATATTCAATTGTATAAATGAATATTTGAGTTTTTTGTAATCTCCCCCCTTCTATTTTTCTGCTATAGACAATCATGTTACCTATTTCCTGGTATACATGTGCAAGAGTTTCTTGAAGTTGTTCAAACCTAAAAGTGGAATTACTGGGGAAAGGTATGCTTATACTCAACTTTACTAGGTAATGTCAAACTTTTTGGAGTGGTTATATCAACTTACAGTCCTAGAAGCTTTACTACATGATGATTCATGTTTTTCATCCTTGCTAATTGTTGGTATTAGCAGAATTTTTGTTTTCTTGGCCATTCTGGTGAATGTGAAATTGAATTTCACTGTGGGTTTAATTTTCACTTTGCTGAACTATGAATGGTAAGGTTTAGCATTTTTTCATACATTCATTCATTAGCTAATGGTGTTCCTCATTCTGTGAAGAATCTGTTGCTCATTTTATTTATTGTGTTAACTTAAAAATAATAGGTGCTCTTAATATATCTGGGTACTAGTCTTTATCAGTTATATGTAAAAAATATTTTCAATTTTC